GGACAGGCTTCAGATCTGTTGTTCACTGGGTCGCTTTGAGTCATACTTGATTTGACAGCACCTAACAACTAGGAGTATAGACCTTAGGAAGTTGCAGTAACCCAAAGACTATGTGTCTCCAGTGGTTCAAATATCCAACAGAGAAAAAGGTGCACAGTTTCCTTCTGTTACAATTTACAACATTGAAATCCTGCTGCAAGATCACTGTGGGTCGGAAACCATTCAAGGGCAGTGATTATATACATATCTTATGAGCATATATAAAAATACAATCTTTGTTTCAGTAATTACATAATATCACTGACATAACAATAATTACAACTATTACCGATTTAAATTTTTATCCATTGTCTAACTTTTAAATGTAATTTTCTTTTTATATTATAGGACTTGTTTTTATAATGTAGGATTCTTTTTACAAAACTTTGCAAATGTTTGGTTTTATAGGAAAGGGAAGGTTCAGTAGTATATTGACTTGTTCAAAAGGAAATGTCAGGAGGGGAAATTTTGGAAGGATTCTTGGTTGAATTCGTGATTTTTAAGATATTGAGACAATGTTTTATTTCCATTTTTGTGGAAAGACCATTTTGTTAACATTTTAACATAAGATCGTTATTTTCACCTTCATGCTAAACTAACTGACATTCTAAAATAAATCCCAGTAATCCCAGAAGTTCGGTTTGTAATGACTTTCGTGGAGCGATGCCACGATGAGCCTCTGGGTGCCGCTGTCCGCCAATCCGTAGCCGGAGTAAAGCAAAGAGGTCCACCCACGACTCTGAAGCGGCGATCTCTGTGAGATACGATCCCTGCATTTCTCTCTTCTGCAATCTGTTCCAAATATCTCATTCAGAAACTCCAGGATATGCAATGACCGCAACTGAGGCGCTGTCTTTTCTTTCCAGTGCACCTTTGTAATCCAAGAGGAGCGGGTGTGTTCAGATCTAAGAAGGCTCCTTAGAGGCGCAGAGAGCTCAGGAAATGCGCGGCATCCCTTCCTGCAGGCTTTGTTCAGCGTAGTGAACTACGTAGCAAATGCACCACGAGATCCTGGAAGAGATCGTCAAGGACTCAAAGATGGAGAATCTCGACTCAGATCTGGGCTCGGGAGTCCGGAAACCCACTGGTGAGTGCTAAGAAGCCTCTCTTTACGCGAACAGGGACGAATTAAAGACAGAATAGATTAAGCTCATTTGCCAAAGAAAAGTTCTGCGCCCCTTGAATTAGAAACCTTCGCTGAAGAGCTCTATTAAATATATATATATATTCATTCTAGATATAAATGATAACTAACGATTTTTATCATAGATATTTTACTTGGGGAACTTCATGAAAAGTCTTAATAGGAGTAAAGTTTATTCTTGCATTCGCAATAGAGACACTGGCAGAAAATCTCTGCAAATGTATCACATTCGTTTCAATAACCATCCCCCACCTGTAAGTAATGGAAACAAGACAGTAAATCCTCTGGAAATTCAGTGGATTTCCCACAGGAGAAACTATGGACTCGAAGGAACAGAGGAACAGAGTGGTGGTGGGAGAAGGTTGGAATAGCTCCGGGTAAGATGACAGGTCTTGAATACCAGAGACAGCCCTACCAGGTGAACTACGCAGGATGAGTTCAGCAGTCAGCGGGGGACCTGCTCTTCACCCCCTCCCACCTCCACCTCAGATGATTCCCAGTGGCCTAGATGAAGTCTTTGAAGCGGAGTTTGCCAACATTTTCCACGCAATCTCACAGAACATATTGAAGATACTCAATTTCTTATCCAATAATGACAGCAAAATACTTGATTCTGAAGAGTGACAGGTATGGCATGTAATGGAAGAGGAAAAGTGGATGCAATTGGAGGGTCTGTTTCAAATCCTAACTGACAGAGATTGAGACTTATACTACAGTGCTGCAGTGTGGGTGACTTCCACCTAGGGGGTGTCCCTAATGGAAAAAACACTGGTTACCATAACCAAAACAAGACCAAGAGACCTGCTTCAATGGAGAGGTGAAAATTATCAGGAAAAGTGAGCGCTCTGGGAAACAGTTCTCCAAGAATGAGTATATGGGGTGGGGGGGGGCAGGAATATGAGTATACAGTTCTTTTAAAGTTACTGACAAAATTCAAAGGGAAGCAAGCGCTGAAGACCAATGTCATCATCACTGTCACTAATGGGAACAAGCTGTCCCTCTCCTTCAGCATGAGTGCCACTTTAAACATCTCTCACATCAACAGTACTGCTGCTACAGGCCTCCATTTTGTCTGAGAGCCTCCTAGAATGCCTACCCTGCATCTTGTCTCCATAATGCACTTTAGTACAGTGTAGATCAGACTAAGATCTAGGTCCCAGCTGTGCTATGCCTCACACTTAGACAGGTCCGCAGTATGGGATTGAGTGGCAATTACTCAGCCTTCTTTGGTAGAGCTAACACGAAGCGTCCGTGACCAAGATTCCACAAGGATCTCCCTGTGATGATGAAGGGACACGGTATAAGGAGAAACCAGGCGAGGACGCGGCATCCAGGGATGGAGGTGGATGGACTTCTTGAACACCACGCCACGCAGTTACCTGGCCACCCAGGTGGAAGCAAACTGGAGCGCAATACCTGCCTGACCACATTTTCTGCCGCCCAGCTAATCCCATCCTCCTTCAGTTAGACAACATTGGCTGGCAACAAAGACCTCAGGTCGCTGTGTGCAGTGGCAATAACCGTCATGCCGTATATAATTGTCACTAATCCTCTGCAAGAGTCGATGAAGGACCTGCATCCTTCAGCAGACAAAGCTCTAATTTTCTTTGTTTCACCATCATCTTTGTGCTCCTCTTCCTCACGGTGCCCTGCAAGGCCCCTGCGACGCCCCTTCAGGGGCTATTTTCTGGAGTCTGTGCTCCAAGTCAGGGTGTGGAGTTGTCCCAGTGAGGGAAATGTGCCCCATTCCTGAACGTGTGGCTTCAGAAATGTCAAGCTGGCATTTCTTCAGGTTGACTAGAGGAATGCAGTTCACTGGGTATGCTCTACAGCTCCCCTAACAGCCTTAGACACTACATTGGCTTTAAAGCAAACCTACCTTTCTATGTGGGTTTTAATGTTTTCATGTCCTAAGTATCTTCCTTTTATACATCAATCCTGGTTTTTTATGTTTTTATGGCAGGATCTACAAGTTTACTTTCTAGCTTCTGTATTTTTTTTATTTACGTTTTTAAAGCCTGGCCTGTTTCTTTGTATGTGCCTGTTGATGTATGTTTTTAATTCATGTTTTCTGCTACAGTCCTTCTCATACAATATTGAAAGAATTAACTCCATCTTTACATTTCTGCTCTTTGACTACATATTTTTGTCACCGAGAAACTATTTTGCAAAAAAAAGATACTCTCTTTCTAAGAACTTCCTTGTAACTTTTGACTGGTTCCTTCTCCCACCCCCTTCCTTGTCGTGGCCTTTCCCAGCTGTGATGGTTCTTACAGCGGGTTGACTGCCAGGGTCTGGCTCTGTTTATCCCTGGAAATGTCAAACTTTGGAGCGCAGAGAACATTCTTTTCAAACTTTTGGATAAGGATAAATAAGCATCCTATTCACTACCTTTTAGTAATATTGAAATAGGTAAAGGAAAGCAATGCACTGCTTAGTCTTTAAAATGGTATTTAAGAAAACAAGCTTATATTGAGAAAAGTATTAAATGTGATAATGGTAGACTCCATATTCTTCTAATGTTGTCATTATTGTGTTGCCACTATGTGCCTTTGAGTCAGAACTGACTCACAGGTGACCCTCCAGCAGATTTTCAGCGGCTGTAAATCACACAGGAGGAGAATGTCCTTCTTTCTACTCAGGAGCAGCTGGTGGATTAGAACTTTATAATTTACCACTAAGGCACCAGAGCTCCGTATTCTTTTGATAACCTGTCTAAAAGTAAGACTCTGACCATTTTCTTTATAGCTTTGAGGAACAGTGTTACTACCTCTTCGGTCTTTTAAGTTTGAATTAGAAATTATTTTTTTCTGTGAAATTAAGAACGCAAATGTTACTTTATTAAAAATATATTATCTTTGAATAAAATAAAACATGTCTTCAAAAGTCCAAGGTAAATATTCAGTTCAGAATAGAAAGTAAATTGGATGTTCAGAATTTAAAAGTCAATCTTACATTATAAAGACTTCGTTTTATTTCTGATTCCCCTCCCCACCCCTTCCATCTTCCAATTAAAGAGCAGCTATCCCGTCTTTTATAGCTTGGGGAACTGTCAAATCGTCAAACATGACACAGAAGGAGTGGAGGGGGCGTTGTTCTCTTTGTACTGGAGAATTATCTCATGCAGGCATTCAACTCATTGCCATACAGCTGATCCCAACCATTAGCGACCTCCTACCTCCATCGTGTTTCGAAGGCTGTGAATCTTTGGGGGGGGAGTGAATCTTTGGGGGGGGAACTGCCTATCTCCCTCCCACCTGACCGCTGCTGGTGGATTCGAACCGCGAGAGATGTCCGGCCTCTTGGTTAGCAGCACGATCCTATATGGACTACTCCACTAGAGCTTCATGAGAGCGCTCTACTATTTCCAAACACCAAAAGAAGAAAGCTCAGAGCTTGAGGATACCAAAGTTATGCCAAATGTTGTGATTTAGTGGTGTTGAGACACATTTCATCAAATAGGCCTTTTATACTTATACTGTAAAATGATTAAATGTTTTTTTGGCAGTTAAGACTTAAAGGGTGAATATGCTTAATGAGGTTTTCCTAGGTGTGCAGTAACTACTTGGGCCTCTGGGCGCCGCTGTCCACCAACCTGGGAGATGAACGCAGCACTCCACGCAAAAGGGAAAAGGAGGAGGGGAAAAGGCCTGTACCTCTTAAAACCGCGTTCATCGCCAGGTCTAAACCAGTCATCCTCAGGCTGGCCCACGCCGTCCTTCTGAACGTCTCTCTACTCGAATGCTCCTGAAAATTTGGTTGATTTAGGAATCTATATTTTTGACTCTGGCCTGGGAGAAAACTACAAAGCAAAAGAATGGCGGTCGGGCGGAAGCTGCCTGGTTGCGGCAGGTTGGTCCTGCTGTGCCTTTTGGGAGGCCTGCTGTTGGAAGCCTGGGCCGGAAAGACCCGCTACTCGGTGCCAGAAGAGACAGACAAAGGTTCCCTTGTGGGTAACATCGCGAAAGACCTAGGGATACAGCCCCAGGAGCTGGCGGAGCGCGGAGTCCGCATCGTTTCCAGAGGTAAGACCCAGTTTTTTGCTCTGAACCCGCGAAGTGGCACCTTGGTCACCGCGGGAAGGATCGACCGCGAGGAGCTCTGCGCCCAGAGCGCGCGGTGTCTGGTGAATTTTAATATTCTACTAAAGGATCAAATGAAGCTTTTCCCTGTCGAAGTAGAGATAATTGATATTAATGACAACACTCCCCAATTCCAGATAGAGGAACTGGAAGTTAAAATGAATGAAATAACCACCGTAGGTACCAGGATCCCTCTGCCATCCGGGCAAGATCTTGATGTGGGGATGAACTCGTTGCAGAGCTACCAGCTCAGCATCAATCCACATTTCTCCCTAGATGTGCAACAGGGAGCTGATGGGCCCCAAAACCCGGAGATGGTTCTACAGAGTCTCCTAGATAGGGAAGAAGCAACTGCCCACCACCTCATTCTCACTGCCTCAGATGGAGGGGACCCAGTCCGCTCTGGCACCCTTCAAATACGTGTTCTGGTGGTAGACGCCAACGACAATCCTCCATCATTTACTCAGGCACAATACCACATAAGTGTTCCTGAGAACGTGCCCCTGGGCACTAGGCTGCTGGTAGTAAATGCCACAGACCCAGACGAGGGAGCCAATGGGAAAGTAACCTACTCATTTCACAATATAGACCACAGAGTGGCCCAGGTATTTCAGTTGGATTCTGACACTGGCGAAATAGTAAATAAAGAACCACTAGATTTTGAAGAATATGAAACCTATTCGATGGAAGTTCAAGCTCAGGATGGCGCTGGGCTTATGGCCAGAGCTAAGGTGCTCATTAAAGTTCTGGATGTGAATGATAATGTCCCAGAAATGACAGTCACTTCTGTCACCACTGCAGTCCCAGAAAACTTTCCTCCTGGGATCATAATTGCTCTTATCAATGTGTATGACCAGGACTCCAGAGACAATGGGCACACTACATGTTCCATTCCTGGAAATCTGCCTTTTAAATTAGAAAAGTTAGTTGATAATTATTACCGTTTAGTGACAGAAAGAACCCTGGACAGAGAACTGACCTCAGAGTACAACATCACAGTGACAGCAGCAGACAGTGGAACTCCGGCTCTATCTACTGAAACTCACATTTCAATACTCGTGACAGATATCAATGACAACCCTCCGACTTTTTCTCGGGAATCTTACTCTACCTACATTCCAGAAAACAACCCCAGAGGTGCCTCCATCTTTTCCCTGACTGCCCAAGACCCTGACAGCAATGAGAATGCACGAATCACTTACTCATTGGCTGAAGACACCATCCAGGGGGCGCCCCTGTCCTCCTACTTCTCCATTAACTCTGACACTGGAGTCCTATACGCCCTACGCTCCTTTGACTTTGAACAGTTCCGTGACCTGCAGTTGTGGGTGACAGCAAGGGACAGTGGGGACCCATCACTCAGCAGTAATGTGTCACTGAACCTGTTGGTGCTGGACCAGAATGACAATGCACCAGAGATCCTCTACCCAACTCTCCCCACTGACGGTTCGACTGGTGTGGAGCTGGCACCTCGCTCCGCAGAGCCTGGCTACCTGGTGACCAAGGTGGTGGCGGTGGACAGAGACTCAGGTCAAAATGCCTGGTTGTCTTACCACCTGCTCAAGGCCAGCGAGCCAGGGCTGTTCGCGGTGGGGGTGCACACGGGCGAGGTGCGCACTGCGCGGGCCCTGCAGGACAGAGACGCGCTCAAGCAGAGTCTGGTGGTGGCTGTTCAGGACCATGGCCAGCCCCCTCTCTCGGCCACTGTCACGCTCACCGTGGCCGTGGCCGACAGCATCCCCGATGTGCTCGCTGACCTGGGCAGTATCAAGACCCCTAGCGACTCTGACGACTCAGGCCTCACGCTGTACCTGGTGGTGGCTGTGGCCGTCGTCTCCTGTGTCTTCCTCGCCTTTGTCATTGTGTTGATGGCGCTCAGGCTAAGGCGCTGGCACATGTCGCGACTGCTCCAAGATAGAAGCAGAGGATTGGTGGACTTGCCTGCCTCTCACTTTGTTGGTGTGGACGGGGTGCGGGCCTTCCTGCAGACCTATTCCCACGAGGTCTCCCTCACCGAGGACTCGCGCAAGAGCCACCTGATCTTTCCGCAGCTCAACTACATGGACACGCTCATCAGCCACGACAGCTGTGAGAAAAAGGATTTTCTGTCAACACCTCAGTCCTTACTTGAAGACAAAAAGGAAATGATCCCTCAGGTAAACTTTTTATAGTGACTTTATGCTTATCTCCATAAAAAATAATTCCTACGTTTACTTGTTTTCCATCTCAGTACAGTTTTTCTATGCCTCAAAGATTCCTGTAGGTTGTATTACAAATCCTGGAAAATCATTAGAAGGTGAACCTATATCTGCATGCTAACATCATGATATGATATATTTGTAATTATCTTTCTTTCTAAAAAGAGCTTGCAATCATAATATGGGTCATTATGAGGAAGATTATGACATGTGCAGATGAGTCTCTACTGTGGGAAGAACACTGCATTAGCACAAGGAGATCTTACTTCCAGTAAGTACCTTCTTATTTACCTGTAGCCAAGTCACTTCATTGTTCTAATTTTTACCATCACGTTACCTGCAGAGGGTAAAGATAGATTAGAAAAACTGATTGGAAAAATTCCCATGTTCTCTCGCTATAAAATCTTAATACATTCCATCTTTTTAATTACTAGATTCTTTAAATTAGTTTATTAGATCATCCTTTATCAATGAAATGTAACATCTTTCCTGAGTTTTAAATGTGAGATAAAAAATGGCTTATGAGTTCCATTTTTATATGCCCCTTTGGTCAGACTATTTCAGGGAGATGTTTACAGTATGACTCTGCTTATGTTAAATTTGTATTCCAATCTTCTAAAGAAGCTGTTGTTTCTTGATAAAATTAATATATCCTTAAAGAATCATAGATAAAATATTTCATGTAGTCAAGTTAACAGGTTTTCCTTAATGTTTGATTATTGTAGTCAATGATAATAATATAACTTTTTTACATTCTGAGAAATTATGAAGCACTTTCCATTATTCTAACATATTTAAGAATTAAAGACCCATCAATATTTATGTGATAATATTTTAAAATTTCCTCCTTACGTGATTCCCTGCTAGTTCACCTTTCGGGCAGGCAGGACACTCTGGTGGCCTAGTGTAAGGAGTTGTGTTGCCAACCTAAAAGCAAGTGGTTTGGGTCCACCAGCTGCTCTGTTGAGAACCGTGTGACTCACAGCCTTTGAAAACTTATTGGAAGGTCAGCTCTGAGTTGGCTCCAACTTGTTGACAATCAGTTGAGTGTGTTTTGTTTAATTGTCTGTCAAATGTAGTGTTAATGTCATCTGTCAGGATGTTATGGTAATAGTAATTTAGTTGGAGATATTTGAAAAGTAAAGACAGTCAAAAGTAGTACTTTTAATTGTACTAATGTAAAGTTAAGAAACTCCATACACACTGCAAATTTAAATAATTTTAAATATATTAAATGTTTAGTCTTTTGAAATACTAATATCTAAATATTTGGGTATGTTGCTAGGCAAGGCTGTTTCTTGGAGAGGGACATGATGTTTGAAAATGTAGAGAGAGAGAGAGTCAGTGAAAGATTGGAAGACCCTCAACCAGATAGATTGACATAGTGACTGCTGCTATAAACTCACGTGTGTCAGATATTGTGAGGATGGCACAGGATAGGACAGGGTTCAGATCTGTTGTTCATAGGGTTGTTATGGGTTGTACTTGACTCAGTGGTACCTAACAACAAAAATAACAAATGTATAAGATTGTTTTCTTGCAACAATGATACTGTGATTGAGGCTGCTGATTGGTTTCAGTCATGAAACTATGAGGACTATGATCTGTTTCCTCTCGGGTTCCCTGGGATGTCTATGGCTTTCCTAGACTGGTTGGGGATAAAGTGGAAGTGGAACAAGAGACTAATCCAGCAGCCCTTAGAAAAGAAAGATCATTTGATTCACTATATTCCAGTATCTCAGAACAAATGAGTATACTCGGTACTAGCCTGTATTACACAGAAATTTAATTTATTCAGCTACCACTCAAATATGATTATGCCAGTTCAACTAGAATAATTAATGGAATAATCTTACAGTTCACTGTTGTGAGAAGTAATTGACTGTAATCACCTCCTACAAAATGGAGACTGAATTATTTATTACCTCCTCAGCTGCTTAAAATGTGAATGAACACTTTGTGTTCAATAACAGTAGATCAATCAAGGTTGACTCAAGATGTCTTTTTTTTTGCCGAAATGGGAGAGTATTTGAATAATAAACACAACACAGGCCCCTTTGAGATGACCATTTCATTTAAGCCTTAAAAGGAAATGGGGTAGATGCGGGGAATTATTAGGAATCAGACTATTGAATGGATTGAGAGCTTGTCAAATGGATATGTAACCATATGCCCCTTCTACAAGTCTGTAGCCATGATGTCTCCACTGCTCTTTTCAGATTGCTTTGAAATAAATGTTTCTTTTTCATGGGGGAGTGGGAAGGGAAGATACTTATTCAAGGAGCATAAAGTGGTAAATCAGCCTAAAGTCATGAGAGTTCTAATCTTTTACTTAAAAGTAGATATTTCAGGGAGCAGCCCTGGAGTAGGGGTTGTGGTAGTGCACAGGAGCCTAATGGTGGTAGCTGTGGTGACTGTGGGACTGACTAAGAACTACAGAAATTCCTATGGAAATGAAGTAGAATTTCAAGGAGCATAATGTATGGAAGCAGGCGTGGTACCCACTTCCTAAACCACATGCCTCCGGAAACACTATGAACTTTGATGAATGTCCATAGTTATAGAGGGGCTTCAGGCCTTTTGTTCATAGGGTCGCTATGAGTCATGCTTGACTCGAAGGCAATCATCAACAATAATGGATGGAGAGGAAAAAACATGGTGGGTGTGAAGGCCCAGATGTATGTCAAATTGATATCTTCTAATGCCCATGAATTTATTATAAAAAGAGAACATGCACTAACATCAGGAACAAAAAAAGTCATGTCGTGTGGCCCAGGTCAGTTTGAAACCAATGTGGTCAATTTTAGAGAGATCCCTTCACATGTGCTATCAAAGGTATGCATTTATTTTACCTTCAAGGTTTCCTACACTAGCAGCTCCACCAAGATTCCTAAATTTCCAATTGCACCTTAAATTGCGCTGGAACTGCTGATGGCTGTGAACTTCTTAGAATGCTAAATAAAATAAATTATAACAAACTGTTAACTTTTTTCAGTATTTTTTTAAAGTAGATGTTTTGGATAAGGAGATTAACTCTACATTGTATAATTAGAACCAAAATTGCTAGGTTGAACTGCTTGCATACAAATAAGATATTATTCCCCTTCGCTAATAAGTGGGAGTATTTTCGTACAGATACCGCCTGCCAACGCCTGTGGTTATGACTCACTGTAAGTTGCAGATCATTCGAGAAAGGTGGACACAGACAACAAACACTGAGTCCCTCAACCTTGAACTGTGGTATTTACAATTCTACTGTTAACATGGGATTCAAAGCACCATTAAAAGACATGACCCAGGACTTGGTGTGAGATATGGACAATTTCAGAAGCATTAGAGACAATATTGAACCCAGAAGAAAGAAGAAGAAGGGGAAAAAATGATATTTTACTTAAATTTACGAACCAAAATTCTTAAATGCTAAATCTAAGGTTAAGAAAAATAGCAACATCATCAACCAGAACATTCATTTATATAGCAAATGAAAGAAATTTTATAGAAAAACTGAGGTTTAATTATTTTGTAATGACCAATGAAATATATGATATAATCATAGCAAGATTATAATAAGCATAACAAAAATATATTAAACAATAAATTAAACTATAAATATCTAAACAATTAGAAGACAAATGAAATTATAATTATTGAAGTAAAAAGAATACTTAATAGTTGAGATAAATAAGATTGGTTAGGAAGTACTGAGCTTCTGTTAAAGGTAAGGGAAAGATTCACTACAAGTAATGACTGAACAACATGGTAAACACATTTAACATGGCTGATCTGTGTATGTGAAGATCATTGGGAAGGCAAATTTGCATACTTAATATAATAAAAATGGAAAGGGGGAAAATTAAATTAGACGCAACTGAATATAAGATTAGTGAACTGGAAGACTGTGAGAGAAATTCACAAAAAATGAAGCATTAAATGAAACTAATTCATAACATGATAAAGAATATTTATTAAAACTTTGTAAAAAATGCCATTAGAGTGAAAACCTAGTAGCATTTGCATTAAAACTGAGGAAATATAAGCATGCTGGTGACAAGGTAGAAACTCTTAAATGTTACACTGAAAGAACTAGCCATGTCAAATGACTAGGAAGATTAAATAGGAAGTACAAAAATGGAGATGTAAAAGACAAAATTATTATTTGCAGGAATTGTGATTTTTCTATATGGAAATAGCTAAGTTATTTACAACCAAAATAATTAGAATAAGAGAGTTCCTTAATATTTCTAAATATAAGATCAACATATTAAATGTGATAGCTTCTTTATTCATCAGTAACAAACAAAATATAAGTTAAAAAATACATTTCCAACAGCAATACAAACTATAGGGTATTTTAAAAAATACATATTTTAAAAATTTACAGAGAGGGATTATTTAAAAATACAAAGAAAGACCTATATATTTTATCTTTTTTTTTAAGACCTGTATTTTAAAGTTTTTAAAAACTAAGTCAATTTGGGGGGCGGGCAGTGGGCAGGGGGATTGTATACAATGAAGAAATTTTACTTTTCAAAGAGAGGAGCAAACTGGGTGGGAGGGGTGGGCAGAGATAAAAGTGTAACAATGAATGAATGGAAATTCAAAATCTCTGTAAATGTTCATTAAGATTATTTTTTTAAAAAAGAAAGAAAAATAAAACCTGTCAGCCCACCCAAAACTAATCTATAACTCTAACACAATTCTAATTACAATGTTAATAGTCATTTTTCATTACCCTTGATCTATATATACATAAAACAAAGTAGAAGAATAGTCTAATTCATTTGGAAGAAAATTAACAAAGTGGGGAAAACTGCCCTATCATATATCAAGACCCAGCAATGATAATGGAATGTGGAATATAGGGATATTGCTACCCTTTCACAGTTCAAAGTCACCAGATGCTCTATGAGAAAAAGAACATTGCCTTTCAATAAACTTAGAGCCTTAAAAACCCAGTGGGGAATCACCAGGACTGTGAATCAACTTGACTTTAGTAAGTTTGGCGTATGTTTGTTTATGGGTTTGTTTGGTTGTGGTTTTTTTGAAAAAAAAAGAAAAAAGAAAAAAGAATTGCCTAATATATGAAGATAAAGAAGGGGTGAAAACATGTTCAATTGAATACAGTGAAACGTTAAGATTTGGACTAGTAGGGGTGAAGAGTGTATGATAATCCTTTGTACAATTTTTGCAACTTTTATGTAAGTATGAAAAGATTTAAAATGAAAAAATATGAAAACTGATCTCAATATGCAAGATGCTAAGATTTTATAACATTGCATGGTATGTACATAGATGCTAATTACAATATTTTCTGTACTCTCTCTATATATATATGAAATATCTACATTTTATTTTAAAAACAAGAGTATGACCTGTAAGTGCATAAAATTAAACCAAAGAAGAGATCCACTGTATGATATTTTTATACTCTTAGAAGATGCTAAAAATCAACTTGGCAACTTCAAACAACTTTAAGTGACTGATGTTCTGTGTGATCTTTAAACCCCCCCCCCAAAACAACCCATAAAACTTTTCTTGCTCTACTATTAGCCAGTTTTCCATTTCCTTAATGTTCCGTGCTGCCTGTCACAACTCCAAACTCGTAGTTGATCCTATGCTTTTGCATTCAACTTCATCCATGTCCTGAGAAAGTCTTAGGTGCATGTGTATTCTTGATCACCCAGTCAGTGTTCCCTACCATCATTCCATCATACTACTCTGTTGACGTTCCTCCTCACGCTCTGAGTGTCCTGAGTGACTGTGTCAATCAGGGTAACTGGCCGTTTGCATCTTTGACACTAACAAAATGTCTCAGTCATTTAGGCATTTGATGATTTGAAGTTTATATACAGATTTTGACATTAAATACCAGCCACTGAGCACAGAAACTGAGGGATGGGAATGCAACTTCATAATATAATATAGCTAACTATTTTGAATTGACTTTACTATCTCCAAATGTAAAAATTAGACGATGTTTAGAGCAAGGACAAATGAGAGGTTTCCATATCGAATAATACTTACATAGTAACTAGCAGCAAAGCCACACTCATGTAGAGCATCCTTGTAACTGCTGAGAAAACTACCCCTGTCTTGAAAGAGCTACTTTTAACAGTGTGTTGGAACTCTGATTCTGTACCTTAAATCAGAAGATCACAAAGTAAACCTTAAAAGCAACTTGGCTTTCGGGTGCAGAAATGAGCTGAGCCTCTGAGCGTCGCTGTTGACCATCTCAGGAGAGATGAGGCGAGCTACTCAGTGAAGGAGCATTTTGGCTCTCAGAACACAAAGGGCTGCGGATCTAGCCACACAGTCTCCCGGAAGGCACGGCAATACAACGCCACAGCCCCACTAGATCTCTCCAGACTGACTAAGATCTGTGAATACTGGTCCCCTCGGACTCAGGAAGAACTTTTGCCATCTCACACCGGATTGTGGACCTTAACTCGGGGGGAAAACCTGCAGCAGGGGGAAATGTCTGCCGGGGAAAGGTTGCCACGCTGCAGAAAGCTTGTGGTGCGGGCCTTGCTCTGGGCCGCCCTGTGGGAGGCCGCGGCAGCGCAGATGCGTTACTCTGTGCCAGAAGAGGTCGACAAAGGCGCGATCGTGGGCAACATCGCCAAACACCTGGGGCTGGAGCCCCAGGCACTGGCAGAGCGCGGAGTCCGCATCGTCTCCAGAGGTAAGACCCAGTTTTTCTCTCTGGATCTCAACAGCGGTAGCTTGATCACCGCGGACAGGATAGACCGCGAGGAGCTCTGTGCCCAGCGCGCGCGGTGTCTGGTGAACTTTAACATCCTGCTGGAAGACACACTGAGTATTTACTCAGTGGAGGTGGAAGTAACGGATGTTAACGATAACGCCCCTCGCTTTGGAGTAGAAGAACTGGAACTAAAAATCAGTGAAACGACGACGCCAGGATTTCGAATTCCTCTCAAGAGTGCTCATGATGCAGATGTGGGAGAGAACGGCCTCCAGAAGTACCAGCTCAACCCAAATGACCACTTCTCCCTGAACGTGCGAAGCGGGGCTGATGGGGACAGGTACCCAGAGCTGGTGCTGCAGCGTGCCCTGGACCGCGAGGAAGAGGCCCTTCACCATCTCCTGCTCCTGGCTTTCGATGGGGGCGACCCTGTCCAATCTGGCACCTCACAAATCCGCGTGACAGTCCTAGATGTGAACGACAACGCACCTGTGTTCACTGAGCCCGAGTACCGTGTGAGCGTCCCAGAGAATATGCCCATTGGCACCCGGGTCCTCGCAGTTACCGCCACTGACGCAGATGAGGGATTCAACGCACAGGTGGCGTATTTTCAAGAAAAGAAGCCTGGAGAAAATGCAGAGATATTTGAGCTTAAATCGACTTCTGGAGAAATTGTGATCATACAAAGTCTAGATTATGAAGATACTAAATTCCATGAAATTGATATTGAAGCTCAGGATGGTCCGGGCCTTCTGACCCGAACGAAGGTTATTGTCACCGTCCTGGACGTGAACGACAACGCCCCCGAGTTTTACATGACGTCCGCTACTAGCTCAGTTCCTGAAGACTCACCGCCAGGAGCCATGATTGCACTTTTCAATGTGCATGACAGGGACTCAGGGCAGAATGCGTTCATTGAGTGTTCCCTCCCCGAGGACCTTCCTTTCAAGTTAGAGAGATCAGTGGACAACTACTACCGATTGGTTACAACGAAACCGCTTGACAGGGAGCAGATTTCCTCTTACAACATCACTGTGACAGCTAAAGATGGAGGGAGGCCGGCTCTGTCCACCGAAGCGCACCTGTTACTGCAGGTGGCCGACATCAATGACAACCCGCCCGCCTTCCCTCAGGCCTCCTATTCTGCCTATATTCCTGAAAACAATCTCAGGGGCACCTCTATCTTTACGGTGATGGCCTATGACCCTGACAGCGAGGACAACGCCCACGTAACTTATTCTTTGGCCGAGGACACCATCCAGGGGCCTCCTGTGACCTCCTATGTTTCCATCAACTCCGACACAGGAGTCCTTTACGCCCTGCGTTCCTTTGACTATGAGCAGTTCCGTGAGCTACAGCTGTGGGTGACAGCAAAGGACAGTGGGGACCCGCCACTCAGCAGCAACGTGTCACTAAACTTGTTAGTGCTGGACCAGAATGATAATGCCCCCGAGATTCTGTACCCCGCTTTTCCCACAGATGGTTCCACCGGCGTGGAGCTGGCACCTTGCTCCGCAGAGCCTGGCTACCTGGTGACCAAGGTGGTGGCGGTGGACAGAGACTCGGGTCAGAACGCCTGGCTGTCCTACCGCCTGCTCAAGGCCAGTGAGCCAGGGCTGTTCGCGGTGGGGGTGCACACGGGCGAGGTGCGCACTGCGCGGGCCCTGCAGGACAGAGACGTACTCAAGCAGAGCCTGGTGGTGGCTGTCCAGGACCACGGCCAGCCCCCTCTCTCAGCCACCGTCACGCTCACCGTGGCCGTGGCCGACAGCATCCCCGATGTGCTCGCTGACCTGGGCAGCCTGGAGCCCTCTCACGACTCTGACGCCTCTGACCTCACATTGTACCTGGTGGTGGCAGTGGCTGTGGTCTCCTGCATCTTTCTCGCCTTTGTCATCATGCTGATGACGCTCAGGGTGCATCGCTGGCACAAGTTTCGCCTGCTTCAGACAGCCAGCAGAGGTCTGGACGGTGTGCCAGGCACGCACTTTGTGGGCGTGGATGGGGTGCGGGCCTTCCTGCAGACCTATTCCCACGAGGTCTCCCTCACCGCGGACTCGCACAAGAGCCACCTGATCTTCCCGCAGCCCAACTACGCGGACACGCTCATCAGCCAAGACAGCTGTGAGAAAAAGGATTATCTGTCCGGGTCTCAATCTCTACTTGAAGGAAAAGGAGAAGCAATTTCTCAGGTAAACGGACTTTTCATAATATATTTAGAAGCTAAAACAAATTATCCCATTTACTTAACTGACTCTTCCATTTACGGTGTCTTCCTTATTTCTCAAATTGCTCAAGAACATATTAAATTTTTAGAAGATAAGACTTAGTGTCATAGACTGTAAGGGTCAAGGACCTAGAATCATTGTGGAATGAAAGTATATCAGAATAAATGAAAGACATATTCAGGTTATCAAAAGAATTGCAGTAGCAACTCAGGCACCTGGTTTCTATTGATTGAGATATTATCTACCTGGATTAGCAAATCTCTCCTTAAAATATGAAGTTTAGATTTTATATTTTCTCTGTCTCTTCCTCAAAATTTATTTGAATCAGTTTGCAGATGGTGAAATTCCCTGGATGGTTACTCAGTGCTACTTTCAAAACCTCTCAAATTTAAAAGTGAAATTTTTCTTTTTACTTAACCTATATACTCTTTCCTACTATGAGACAAAGATAGAAACCTATAAATCAATATTCTTTACAGTGTTTCAGGGAAGCTTGCAATGACAGCTTAGTTAAATATCTCATCACAGTCTCTAAATAGTTATGTATTCCTCAAAGAAGTGGTTGAGTTAACATTTCCTTTAGGCTAAACTAGGGAGCCCTGGTGGCCTAGTGGGCAAGAGTGTTTGCTGTCAACCCAAAGATTAGTGGTTTGAATCCACCAACTACTCTTTGAGAGAAACATGGACAATCTCTTCCCTGTGCAATTTACACTTCCCAAAACTTGTTATACTACACTTTACAACCAATTTTCTTCTCTAATAATCTTTCTAGGTTGTTTTTAAAGGTTGACTATTAAGGGAGCTCTAGTGGCCTATTGGTAAGACACGGCACTGCTATCCCAGAGGTATGTGATTCAAATCCACCAGGTGCTCTGCTGGAGAAGGAGGGGGAAATCTCCTCCTGTACCAGTCAGATCTGGTTTGACGGTACACGTAAAAAAAAAAAAAACAATAAAATTTTTTTTTAAAAAAGGTTGACTGTGTAGGAACAGAGAAACTGCTAACATCCTATATAATGGGATCATTTTCATTTTTATTTGATGCTGGTAATATAGTTCACGAGTCATCATAATGCACTAGGTGATGTCATCATCTCGAGGTGTTGTAAATCCTTGTTATATTTAGGGGCACCTGATAAGGTAATGCATTCCATTGTGTTCACTGCTAGTACATAATTCTTTATGAGGTAAAAATTTGAACTTACTGTGAAACAATAAGATCCTTACTTGCAGGTAAAGTAAAAAAGAATCCCAAACTAAAGACAGCGCCACCTTTTATTATTTTTATCAAAATACTTTATGCACGCGCAGATAATGCATCTTGACTGAAATAACAAATATACTCTACTGCCATATCTGTGTTCAGTGATGAAAAAATATAAAAAGAACTATTAAAAATCATGGTTTTTCTACTAGTTTTAGTTATGGTTAAAATAAGCAAAACCAAACCCCCAAACCTAACAGTCTCACACTTTGGTTAGGCTACTCAAACTCCTTGTAGTTGCTGTAGGTCTGTCTCTGGCTTTTCTCTCTCACAGCTGGGCAATGGTGTTGCTGTTCTTGTTTGCATTCCAGACTTCTCCCATACTTCCGGAAAAGCTTTTGCCCACCTATCAAGCTGGGCTCAGGGTCTTCTCATCTTCTTAGGTGTCTATCGTTAGAGAGTTATTTCACTGCACTCTAATTCTTTGTTTACTTTAATACAGTCATGAACCTTGTGCAGGAAGTAACTGTGTCCCTTGTTTGTCTCCACTGCTCCCACTGACAAACCTATTGTCTGGTATAGTATGGAACCCAATTATGTGTTTGTTTAGTGAATAAGTTAAATAACAAGTATTGAAACTAAGGTGTCAAGCTATGAAGAACAATCTTCTAGTGGTATAACCCATAAATCATGGCTGACATTTCTGTGTGATTCTAAAATTTTGTCTAAACATTTCAAAACAATAACTCTACCATGTTTGGATGATATTAAGGTTAGTTCATGGCTTTCCAAGGATACTAACTTTAAGACGTACCCTTTAATATATTCATTTATGTAAAAGAATATTCATTAACTCTGTCAAAAGGGATTTTGAATGCAAAAGTGAGAGGAGGGAAAAAAGATAACTTGGATATATCTGAAAGGGTGCAGTAAACAATCGGGCCTCTGAGCGTCGCTGTTGACCACTCAAGGAGGAGAACGCAGCTGGAGTCAACCATTTCCCTCTTCCTGAAACGCAGAGAGCTAGCAAGTCAGAAGATCTTGGGCGGCTACAAAAGTCACTCTTATCAGTAACCAGCTCTGGGACCCACCCAGGAATTGGCTCCATAAAGACTTAGTTCCCGGAGGAAGTAAGATTGAAGTCTGTGGTGAGAAACTGGAACCGAATTCAGAGGAGAGGAAAGAAAAACATTCTCCAAAACCGAAATGACAGATTGCCTGGGACTCCGAAAAGGCAGAGGGCTGGCCCTGCTGTGCGCGCTTCTAGGGATGCTGTGTGGGAACGGATCCGGGCAGATACGCTATGCAGTGCCTGAGGAATTGGACAAAGGCTCGTTCGTGGGTAACATCGCCAAGGACCTGGGTCTGGAGCCCCAGGAGGTGGCGGAGCGCGGCGTCCGCATCGTCTCCAGAGGTAGGACGCAGCTCTTTGCGCTGAGCGCGCGGAGCGGCAGCCTGGTGACCGAGGGCAGGGTGGACCGCGAGGAGCTTTGCGCCCAGAGCGCGCGCTGTCTGGTTAAATTTAATGTCCTCATCGAGGACAAGTTGAAAATTTTTGAAGTGGAGGTAGAAATTAAAGACATTAATGATAATGCTCCTGATTTTCTAACAGAGGGATTGGAAATAAAAATCTCGGAATTAACGGTGCCTGGAACCCGATTTGCACTTAAGACAGCATTTGACCCAGATGTGGGCGTGAACTCCTTACAGAACTACCAGCTCAGCCCCAATGACTACTTCTCGCTGGCTGTGAAGAGCATCTCTGGGGAGTCCAAGTACCCAGAGCTGGTCTTGGAGCGGGCCCTGGACCGAGAGGAGCAGGAAGTTCACCAGCTTGTCCTCTCTGCCTCTGATGGAGGCGACCCTGTCCGCTCTGGCAACTTGTACATTCAAGTTATTGTTCTGGATGCAAATGACAACCCACCAGCGTTCACACAGCCCGAGTACCATGTAAGTGTTCGGGAGGACGTGCCTGTGGGCACCCGACTGCTCAGAGTGAATGCCACAGACCCCGATGAGGGATTCAATGCTCAAGTGTCATATATCCTAGATAAAATGCCTGGGAAAATGGCTCAGATTTTCGACCTTGACGCAGCGACTGGAGATCTATCACTATTAAAAAGTCTAGATTATGAAGATGCTATGTTCTATGAAATTAAAATGGAAGCCAAAGATGGACCAGGTCTCTTTTCAAGAGCAAAGATTCTAGTCACAGTTCTGGACGTGAATGACAACGCCCCAGAAGTTACAATCACTTCTCTGACAGGTTCAGTCCCAGAAGAGGCTACCGCTGGAAGAGAAATCGCCCTTATCAACGTGCATGACCGAGATTCTGGGCAGAATGGGCAGGTCACAGTTCTTGTCCTTGGAAACCTGCCATTTACTTTAGAAAAATCTATAGGTCAGTATTACCGCTTAGTGACAGCCAGATCCCTGGACCGTGAACAAGTGTCAGAATATAACCTCACCCTGAGAGCCACAGATGGAGGAACTCCGTCACTGTCCACGGAAACGCACATCACACTGCATGTGACTGATATCAACGATAACCCACCCGCCTTCGCTCATGCCTCCTACTCTGCCTATATTCCTGAAAACAACTCCAGAGGCACCTCCATCTTCTCCGTGACCGCCCACGACCCTGATAGTGATAACAACGGCCATGTCACCTATGCACTGAATGAAGACACGCTCCAGGGCACGCCTCTGTCCTCTTATGTCTCCATTAACTCTGACACTGGCGTCCTCTATGCGCTGCTCTCCTTTGACTACGAGCAGTTCCGTGAGCTACAGCTGTTGGTGACCGCCCGCGACAGCGGAGACCCGCCGCTCAGCAGCAACGCATCAGTTACATTGTTCGTGCTGGACCAGAACGACAATGTCCCCGAGATCCTGTACCCCGCTTTTCCCACCGACGGCTCCACTGGCGTGGAGCTGGCACCTCGCTCCGCAGAGCCTGGCTACCTGGTGACCAAGGTGGTGGCGGTGGACAGAGACTCGGGTCAGAACGCCTGGCTGTCCTACCGCCTGCTCAAGGCCAGCGAGCCAGGGCTGTTCGCGGTGGGGGTGCACACGGGCGAGGTGCGCACTGCGCGGGCCCTGCAGGACAGAGACGCACTCAAGCAGAGCCTGGTGGTGGCTGTCCAGGACCACGGCCAGCCCCCTCTCTCGGCCACTGTCACGCTCACCGTGGCCGTGGCCGACAGCATCCCCGATGTGCTCGCTGACCTGGGCAGCCTGGAGCCCTCTCACGACTCTGACGCCTCTGACCTCACATTGTACCTGGTGGTGGCAGTGGCTGTGGTCTCCTGCATCTTTCTCGCCTTTGTCATCGTGCTGATGGCGCTCAGGGTGCATCGCTGGCACAAGTTTCGCCTGCTTCAGACAGCCAGCAGAGGTCTGGACGGTGTGCCAGGCATGCACTTTGTGGGCGTGGACGGAGTGAGGGCCTTCCTGCAGACCTATTCCCACGAGGTCTCCCTCACAGCGGACTCGCGCAAGAGCCACCTGATCTTCCCGCAGCCCAACTACGCGGACACACTCATCAGCCACGACAGCTGTGAGAAAAGCGAGCCTCTCCTAATATCTCAAGATTTACTTGAAGCAAAAGGAGAGCCCAAGCTACTTGAGGTGAGTTTCTTTCTTTCTTCGAATAGTATAAAGAACAGTTTTACCAGTGTGATTATTAGAAAGCTATGATGCACCTTTGTTTGAGAAATTAAACATTGCTATAGTCATTCGTCCTGTAACTTTAGTATTTCTGCTCCTCTCATCTCTGGATATATGGTAGAACAGCACTTCCTGTCCTGGCTATGATTGTGTCAAAAAAGGAACTTTAATAATTGCCGTTGAGAAACAGCCAGTTCAAAGCACCAGAAAAAATGGAAGCCTTTGAATTGGCCGCACCAATCTACTGCCCAGAGCATGAGAAGTTCCTTAGGTTTGTATAAGCCAATGGGAACTACTTCTAGTAGGTGGAAGTAACTGTCACTTCCGGGAGAAATCTCTAACTGCCTCATGAGAATTTTCAAGTTCCTAAGCTACTCTTTGAAATTGTGCTTTCTTCTTCCTTCTGGGTTCTTAAGTATCTATAGTAAGAGGAAATCACTGTGATTGACTTAACATTACTCTGTAAACGGTAGCCCCTTTTAATTTTAAATCTTTGTGTATTGAGGTCTGTTTTTCACCCCAATCTAACTTGCCTATCTTGACCAACACAAATAGATAAAATATATACAAGAGATTTTAGGCTCAAAAATACCCCAAGCCTGACTGACTCCTTCCAAGCCAGATCACAATTTTAATCTTAAAATGAAAAAAAAAATTGCTTAAAGAATGTAGAAATTGGATTTATAATACCTTCATTCCTTATTATATATACTTGAACATGATACATATTTATTTCAGTCTTTTTTTTTCCATGGTGGAAACTGTATTTGTGTACACTTTTATGAGCCATGGACCAGCATTTCTTGTCATTTGAGAAGGATAAAATCCTCTGTGTTAAAACAGTCAAGTCATCCACTTCAGTAATGCAAGCCCTGCTCATGGCCTATAACTTTCTTGGACTGGAAATTCCTAGCCTGTTCTGAAATACTTTTCACCCATGAAGTTGCTTTACAGAATTCCAAAATTTGACCAAGATAGATTTTGTTAGACCTGAAAGGAACAAATTTCTCCTTCAAATATATTAGGGAGAGATTAGGCTTAAATATTTCTGTTCTCTCTTTATGGGCATATGACAGAACTGCACTTTCTGTCCTACCTGTCCCTTGTAACTACTTCTGGTCAATGGAATAATGGGAGTGTGAGACCACAGGGCCTGAGAAAAACAACCTAAATTAGAAAAAGATGTTCCCCAAGCATGCAGCTTTTGACATATATGGGGGAGAGGGGAGTATTAAATGATGTCTGTCAGGGAAACTTTAGCTCTTCAAAGCTGATTTTCTAAGAATTCCATGTAAAACATAGTCTGTATCTTAGTATTGTTTTAATTTATTTGTATAAATAAGATACGTCCATTTCACTAATTTTCTTTCTGAAAATTACCAAGAAAAGGTACGAAATGTTCATAACAAGAGGAATAAAGGCATATAATTGAAAAGATAAGTTAAGGGACATCTTAGGAAAACAGTTGTCTGTCTTGGTTGAAATATGAGTGTTGGTGAGCACTGAAACAAGTAAAAATTTTAATTGAGCAATTTTGAAGTGCACTTGAAATAAAGGAACCTGGTTGTGTTACCCATTTCAAAGATTAAAGGTAAGTTCCAAAAGGAAAAGTTTCGAAGGTTTGCCAGTATTCTCGTCAACCTCATCTCACTCACTAGTGGCATACATTGGTTGGGGCCGAGAGTTGTCATTATAAAAATTGCATGCACATTCACATATCAAAGAAGCACTGGCTTCATAAAAATGAATGTGTGTCAAACACTAAGTTTGGTCCCTTCAACAAAATACCGTGTTCCTCTTTATCTAACTAGGGAGATGTTCTGTTCTAAAAAAATAAATACAACAAAATAACTTCGACTTTCACCACACTCTTTTTCCAGAGTCTCTATCTTTTGAAAGTATTTATTACTGAGTTCATTAAGCATACATGGAGAGATTTAAAGTCCTATGTAAGTAAAGGGAACTCATGAATGTGCAGAAATGTGAAGATGTGGTCCACTATAAATGTGTGCTTAAAAACAAATAACTTATTTGAGTACATCCACATGAATGCCAGGATTTGTAAATGCTGATGTTATTGAACATATTTTTGCTCCATAAGCTGAAAAGGAAAGGCTGGCTATATGCGTTATTAAATTTTCAGATTTTAAAAACCCCCATAAGATGTTGGATATGTTTACGATATTATGAAACACTAGAAACAATCACATTTAACGTGAAATGTGTTTGTTTGGTTCTTTATAACAAATAAGGCAATCCTTTATTCAAGAATTTAAGTGTTGAGAGTAAGTAGCTGGCTGGGCAAAATGCAGTTTTTCAAGGCAACCTCTAGGCGCCGCTGTTGACCAAAGGGAAGAAACAGGGTTCTCGCCTTTCGTCCTTAGCTACTAAACAGCATACCAGTCTTCCGTGCATGCTTAGGCGCCAGATAAACAAGCTCTATCCTTAAATAACAATTGTTCACAGTGTTGATCGTTCACTTTAAAAACCACCCTTGAGAAATCTTGAAGCTAAGCTTCCCTGAGAGCTCAAGACATGCAAAGGAACCGAGGACCAGCTGAACCGAGGAAAAGGCAGGTACTGTTTCCCTTCCTGCTGTCTTTGTTCTGCGGGGCCGCCTCCCAGCAGGTCCGCTACGCAATTCCTGAGGAGATGGCCAAAGGGTCGCTTGTGGGGAACTTTGCCAGGGATCTAGGGCTTAGCATCCAGGAGTTGACAGCTCGGAAACTTCGGGTTAGTGCAGAGGAGGATTATTTCAGCATTAGCTCAGAGAGCGGGGATTTGGTCGTAAGCAGCAGGATAGACCGAGAGAAGATTTGCGGGAGGCAATCTGAATGCTCATTAGAATTTGAAATGGTCGCAGAAAAACCAATGAATATTTTCCACGTAGTTGTTGCAATCCAGGATATTAACGACAATGCTCCACATTTCATGGCAAAAAGCGTTGACCTGGAAATCTGTGAGTCAGCTTTACCAGGGGTTAGATTCTCTCTGGATTCTGCATATGATGCAGATGTGCAAAGTAACTCGCTGAAGACATACACCATCACCCCCAATCAACATTTCTCTCTCTCAACAAAAGAAAGTCCTGGCGGAAGTAAGTACCCAGAATTACTGCTGGAGAAACCTTTGGACAGGGAACAGCAGAGCTCCCATCGCCTAACCCTGACTGCCATCGACGGCGGGGACCCGGCCCTAAGTGGCACTACTCAGATCCGGATCCAAGTCACCGACGCCAACGATAATGCCCCGGTGTTCAGCCAGGATGTGTACAGAGTTAGCGTCCAAGAAGACGTGCCCCCGGGAAGCCCTGTGCTGCGGGTGACCGCCACGGACCAGGACGAGGGCATTAACGCTGCTGTTGCATATGCCTTCCACAATGTCCCTGCCAGTAGTAGCCTCCTCTTCGGGATCGATCCAAATACCGGTGACATCACAACGAATGGGACACTGGACTTTGAAACAACAAGGAAATATGTGTTGGGCGTAGAAGCGAAGAATGGAGGGGTCCACACAGCCCATTGCAATGTTCAGATTGAAATTGTTGATGTGAATGACAATGCACCAGAGGTAACGTTCATCTCCCTTTCCAACCATATCCCCGAGGACGCAGACATTGGAACTGTAATCGCCCTCATCAAAGTGCGGGACCAGGATTCTGGGCAAAATGGCCTAATGACCTGCTACATTCAGAAAGACCTTCCTTTCAAATTAGAATCCACTTCAAAGAATTACTACAAGTTAGTGATTGACAGGGCCGTGGACCGGGAGCAGACAGCAGAGTACAATGTCACCATCACAGCAACCGACAGAGGCAAGCCGCCTCTCTCCTCCAGAACAAGCGTCACCCTGCACATTGCTGACGTCAACGACAACGCTCCAGCCTTTCAGGAGGCCTCCTACACGGTTCACGTACCTGAGAACAACCTGCCTGGCACATCCATCCTTCAAGTCAGCGCCTGCGATCCGGATATGGGCCCCAATGGCCAGGTCTCTTACTCCATCGTGGCCAGCGACCTGGAACCTCGCGCGCTGTCGTCCTACGTGTCCGTGAGCGCGCACAGCGGGGTGGTGTTCGCGCAGCGCGCCTTTGACCACGAGCAGCTACGCGCCTTCCAGCTGATGCTGCAGGCGCGTGACCAGGGCTCGCCCTCGCTCAGCGCCAACGTGAGCCTGCGCGTGCTGGTGGGCGACCGCAATGACAATGCGCCCAGGGTACTGTACCCGGTGCTAGGACCCGATGGCTCAGCGCTCTTTGACACGGTGCCACGCGCCGCGCAGCCGGGCTACCTGGTCACCAAGGTGGTGGCGGTGGATGCGGACTCTGGGCACA